CGATTATATCTCTAGTTCTGCGCTAGATGAACTTCAGTTTTTATTAACTTTCTAAAAAAAATTATGGGCGTCTTATCATGTGTTGGTATGCATGCATATCGATTTTGTTGTTGTAATTTTTTTCTCTAGGAAGTGATCGACGAAGGCGGTAAGGAGTATTTCCTCAGAGCAATTCAAGTCTGCAGTCAGGTGTTCAACACCCTTACCGAAAGCATTCAGGTTTGTTTGGGAGCTTTTTCCATTTGTTTACCTCAGCCAGCTTATGTACGTTACAGGATAAACGAACTTTATGTTAGATACAACTGGTATTTTTCCTGAAAAACCCTGTATTACAAAACTCCGTGGAATTTAGGTCAATTTGTCATTTTGCAGGGTCCATGTGTGGGCAATCAGATGACGCTGGCAAATTCACGTCTATGGGATGCTATCAACGGTTTCTTCTTCCTGTTCGCTCATATGATGGAAAAACTATATCGAAACTCAACGCAGCTGGAACTTTTGCGAGAATTCCTCAATCTGCAAAAAGACATGATCGTGTTGATGCTTTCCATGCTTGAAGGTACAGAAGTTATGCAGGCAAATGATTGCAGTAAAAAGCTGTTCTCTTAGGAAATGTCCTCAATGGACCAATCGGAAAGCAAATGGTGGACGCATTGGTTGAATCTCAACCGTCTGTGGAGAAAATCCTCAAATTTTCGGATATGTTCTTGAAACTAAAGGACCTGACTACTTCACAGGCGTTCCAGGTAACTCCCGACAATATCTGGAGATTGTTAGATTTTAAAGAAAAAAGGTTTACTTTAGGACTTTGACACTAATCGCGATGGTTGGATCAGCCCGAAAGAGTTCCAAAGAGCAATGGAAAGTCAAAAGATGTACACTGTGTAGGTTTTCCCTGCTTGAAAAGTTTTTAACGGATCTTCTGCAAAATCTCTCATTTTTAACATTAAAAAAATTCTTGTATAGTGAGGATATCACTTATCTGATGATGTGTACTGATGTAAATAACGATGGAAAGGTAGATTACATGGAGTTTACCGAAAGATTCCACAATCCTGCTCGAGATATCGGCTTCAATTTGGCTGTACTGCTAACGAATCTCAAAGAACATATCACGAATGATCCAAGACTGGAGAAGATCATAGAAAAGGTATGTGAAACAATGTTCAAGATTAGATTATTCCGGAAATTGGTCTCATTTATTATTCTAAGCCCTACTGGTAGAAGAATATGTGCGTCTCAGGTTGGAATTTTCTATTTTAGGCTCAAACTTTGTTGGAATATTTCGATCCATTCCTGGGAAGGATTGAAATCATGGGATCAAGCAAACGTGTTGAGAAGATTTACTTTGAAATCCAGGAATCATGGCTGGAGCAATGGGGCAAACAACAAATTCGGTAGATTTTGACGATGAGAATTCGATTTCATTAGCTTAACCCATCATCTTTGACCTTTGTTTACAAAAACACCATTGTTTTCTCCTAAGAGAGATCAAGTAACCTGTTTCATCAGAAATGCTTCATACCTTGTTGTCTAATCACTAAATTTAATTTATCATTTAGTGATTCCAAGAACTCCTTCCTCTTCAATGTACTTCAAGACGACGGTGGAGATCAAGGCAAGCTGGAAGCATTCATCAATTTCTGTGAAGTATGTGGTTTCATCATGAATTCTTAAGCGTATTTTTTGCACCATCCTTGTTTAGGATACGATTTTCGAAATGCAGCATGCCGCAGAAATCTCAGCTGGTGACAGCGATTCAAAAGTTGAGAGAGCTCTTAAGCAGAGGGACTATTTCTTGCAGCAGACCAGTACCAGAGAGTTAGTAGAATATAGCGAAAGTTTTTTTCATGACTAATTATTTTTTTTTCAGACAAATCTCTGAGACCTTTAAGAGTGGATACCATTATGGGTTGACTGCAGCCTCTGCATTACGTCCTGAAAATGTCAAACAAACGTTTAAGGGTATCAGTGCGAAAGTAAAGTAAGCAATTTGTCTTTCACCAAATGGATGTTAAAAATTTTAAAATTGTTTTAGACAAATGACTTGGTTGCAACTGCTCTGGGCAATTGCTGTGCTCACCTTCCAAATTGGAAAGGCGCTAGGATATGGCGTATACTTGTTGTTGATGACGTTGTTCCGATTTGCCTACTATCTGACCACACCTGAAAGAGAAGACGAGATGCATAAGGATGAACCGATGGAGTGAGTTTTGGGATATTTTTCTTCAAAACCTGGCAATTTGGGCAACGATTACAATGTCATTATTTTCATTATTTTTTATCATTATTATTTTTGTGGAATGTGGCAATTTTTTGCTAAACTCGAGCTTCTGCAATGC